CTCGCAGGCGACTCTACCTCTGGGGACTTCTCCGACGACCATCGCCTCGTGCGCGTCAGCACAGCCGAGATCGGTCGTCACATGATGGACTCTCTGGACGACGCGGTTCGAGCTCTCGAGCCCCACGGGGATCTCTTCGACTACCAGATCGCCGCCGCGGGGATGGCCTTCGTCCCGTGGCTTTCCCAAACGGCGGCTTTCGAGTGGAGGGCCTCCGTGCGTGTGAATCCGGCCCGCGCTAGCGGGCTGGACGCGGTCGCGGCGGCGTGGAAGCCCGACGCCAGCGGAAAGGCGGGCAAAGCAGTTCGCGTGGACACGCGCGGCCCCTCCGCAGACCCACTCGTCCAAGGCATCTCGAACGCCAAGAAGTCGTTGTACGGCACGAAGGGGTGGTCGGGCCACAGGTCGACTGCGACAGGGCGAGGCCTCGGGCTTCGCGGCGACGGACAGCCCCAGGGAAAGGGGCAGGGCCCACCACCGCAGGCGCCCCCACAGCAGCCGCCAGCGAGCCCAGAGCTGCAGGCGCCAGAGGGGCGCTGGGAGACATGGGCGGTGGTAGTGGCCACAGGGGCCGCGGCCACCGCGGGGCCCGCGCTAGCGGACTCCCAGGCCGGGGGCTCTGGTGGCGCCGACAACGCCTGGGCGGGCGACCACGGCTGGTGGAAGAAGCGCACCTGGTGGGACGGCAGCTGGTGGGGCAGCCGCGACTGGTCGAGGCCAGGTGGCAGCGGCAGCGCGAGCTGCTCCGGGCCCGCCCCCGCGCCGCCCTGGCCGCAGGGCGACAGCGCGAGCGCCGCGAGTAATCCCTGGCGCGAGCTTGGCTGAGGACTTGCTCCGCGAGGCCGTCCGCGCTAGCGGGCGGCGGGCCTTCGCGCTTTAGCGGCGCGCGCGCAGAGTGTCGCGCCTGCCTCGTCGCAGAGTTCAACGACAGAAGAAGCTCTCGCCTCCCTCCGCCCCATCCTACCCGCGAGGCTCGTTTCCTGAGGACATTCTCGCGCTCTTGCTCTGGCTGAGCTTCCCTAGCATCCCCCATCCACGCCTCTCCGCTCCAGCCTCTACTCCTCCTTCCACCCCGCTTCCTCCTCTTCCCCCGCCTTTTTCTCCCTCTCCTGGCCGTTGCCTCCCGCCTTGCTGCGTTTCTCTTCCGCCGCCCACGTCCTCCCCAGATGCGTAGTCTTCAGGAGCTTAACGTGGCGGCGCCCCCGCAGGCACGCAGAGGGCCTGCGTGGCGACGGGGGCGTCGCCACGCAGAGCTTCGTAAGGCCAAACATTTTAAAAACCAATTGTTTTCACTACCAAAGTAGTGCTGTCAGTTTAACTGGTGGGTTGGTTGGGGTTGAAAGGTGGACTTATATCTGTTGTATCTGTCTCGGCACCAGAGCCTGATGAACATATGCAGGCATTATTCGGATTAAGGTTCGAACCCGCCAAGGGAACAAGGGTACAGGCAGCGTAACCCAAAGCGCTGCCCGAGCTAACGAAAAATCATTGCTGCGCGTGAGTGTTGCTACATTCGAATTGGGTGCGTCAGACCCATATCCAGACCCAAGGGGAGGAGGGTAATACATTCTTGCGCTTGCTCTGATTCAGGAAGTAAGAGGTCATGAAAATGACAAGTTCCAAGGTGTCCAAGATTTCTCGGGGATTCCCCAGATGTCTTTATGCTCCACATGGGCCACATAATCGAGGGCCGCTAGATATCCTGGAAATCCAGGAACGTGTCCCGAGCCAATCCTACCATGACATCATGATCGTCCGAGTATTTGCCATACTCGTTCCATTTTCTGCGCGCTGTTGCCTGTCTCTTGTCGGTCACTGAGGCCATGTCGCCCAAGTCGGATTTATCATTTTTTTTGCAGGTGGCCCACATGGACGCTACAGTTGCGCGGCTCGTGTCCGCGCAGCATCAAAACAAGGGAGGAGGAGCACCAGGAGGGCCTGAGCCGGGCCCGCGACGGGGCGCAGTGCGGCCGGGAGCGGCGGGCATGATTCTTGGCATCGCTCGGACGTGTGCATTTTTTTCTCGGCGAGGACCTCGGGGGAGCATCCTGGACCATCGAGCAACAAAAACACGCACGAAACCGAAAAATGCACTGGAAATGGACGTCCGAGCGACGGTAAGGATGGAACATGCTTTGATGATGCTGGCGCGCATCCATGACTGCTGCCCGCCGACCACCCCGCGGTCTGTCATGCGCGACGGGAGGCCACCAGTGCCTCCCTGGCCCCGTCCTGGTGGCACCGCACGGGGCAGCTTCTGACAGGGTTTCCGAAAGCCGGGGTGCCCGACATCGTGGATGTGGACAATATCGCTGTGGCCGCTGCTGCGGCTGCCCGAGCAACGCGGGAGGCACCTCCTGCGGCGCCACAAGCGGGAGGTCATCCGCCCAACCCTCATTTCCTTCGACCGCGATGTGTGCAAGACTGGCTGGGATGCTTTTTCCTTCTTCCAACCGGCTGCGGGGGCCGAGTCGGGGTCGAATTTGCGCGCGTTCTGAAAGGTTGGCTCATTGCATTTCCGTTTGTGGTTCGTTTGCCAAGTATTCAGCAGGTGGCCTCTTCCCGTCCTGGGATTTGATGCTGCGCCAGTGCGTTTGGGTCGTTGCGGTGCTTGTCCTCGTCGAGCAGCGAGGGTCGCCCCTGCCTTGGCGACGCGCTCGGGCACAGCGGGGCTCCGCGAGGAGCCGGCGCGGCACCCTCACGCTCAGGCGGGGCTAGGACGAGGATAAATTCGTTCCGGAGCGTTCCACAACTTTCTCAGGGCGTTCCAGAACGCTCTGAGAAGGCCGCGGCGCCCGAGACATCCTTCAGAGCCGCCGGATCCCAGAGATTCCCGATATATCCTCACCCGATGTTATCCTCGCTTTGGCGGCATCTTGCATGCCTCCAGGCACGGACACGGGAGCGGTCTTGCAGCACCTTCCAGCCCCGCGCGTGCTTCAGGACGCGTGTGCCTCTTGGCGCGCACGGATCAGTTTCGGGGGCTCGTAGAGGGAGGGTCATCCCAAGGTGGGGCTGGGGAACTGGCCCAGCTGGATGCTCCTGCTTAGCGCGTTTCTCAAGAGGGAACAAAAACACACAGATAACATGAATCGTCGACCCCCAGGAAAATATAGGAAAATATACGCAGTGGGGGGGAAGACGAAACTCCAGAAAATATGGGAAAGTATGGGGAATCCTGTTATTTGTGTGTGTATTTATTTGTGTGTCCTTGGGCCCCTTGAGTTTCCCTCTTCCAGGGGCCGTTCGGAGCGAGTTTCCTTCCAGCCCTGCTTTTTTCCCAAACCCCCACCTCTGCTCCCCCCCGAAAGCTGCACGCGGGAGACGTGCACAGGCCCAGGCGGCGGAGGGCGCAGGCGTCGTGGAGGCCTGCGGTCTTCGCGGCATCACAGGCCAGCCACAACGGGGGGAGCTGTGGTCCCTACCCCCCTGGGGGACCCATCGATTTCGACACCCCTCTCGAGAGATCGTCGATGCGATGGGTTCCCCCAGGGGGGTAGGGACCACAGCTCCAACGATGTTGGAATACTCCCGCCCTCCAGGTTCACCTTATGATGCTCCAACCTACTTTGGCTTTGACCACCAGGAAGAATTTCGAGCGCCCAAACAAGTGCCGAAACTCAAGGGTTTTCACGTGTCGGGCCCTGGGAAACACTCGCCCGACACTGTTTCGACACTGTTTCGACACTCTTTTGACACTTCTCTGGGTGCTCGAAATTATTTCTGGGATGTGGTCCTTAAGTACGATGGGAGCAACATAAGGTTCACCTTTCATTGGTGCCAAAAAAATGTAGTTCCAGTTCGGGAAATGCTCCATTGGAAGGCAACCGTCTGATAGTTTTGACCGTGCTGCAGCATCATGTGTGGGGCTTCAGCGCCGTGAATCAGCATGATTGTTGAGTCCTGACCATCATGACTTGTGCCAGAACAGTATTTCTGGGGCTCCAACACCGCGAATCAACATTACTGTTGCGTCCTGACAATTTTGAACCGCGCAAGAACACAATTCCTGGATTTCCATCGCACGAGCATTTGAATTGGTTGCGAAAGTTTAAGACGAATGTGCGCGGCGCTGAGACGAGAACCACATGTTGGAAGCCACTTGTCTTCCATCCGTGAAATTAATTAACACAGTTCAAGACGAAGGTTCGCGGCGCTAGGGCGAGAGCCGCATTCTGAAAGCCACCCGCCCTCCATCCGCGAAGCTGTTGCCAATTGTCACGACGGACGTGTATGGAGCTCAGGCGAAAACCACATTTTGAAAACCGCCCGCCCTCCATCCGTGTAGCTGTTGCAAATTGTCACGACGGATGTGTACGGCGCCGAGGCGAAAACCGCATTTTGAGAAAACCACCTGCCCTCCAGCCGTGAAGCTGCTGCAAACGTCTGAGAGACGAATGTGCGCGTGCGTGCGCGGCGCTGAGCCGATGACCGCGTTCTGAAAACGGCCCGCCCTCCACCCGCGAAGCTGGCTTCGGGAGTGCAGATGGTAAAAAAGTCTCCAAGCGCAACGCCCAGCACAGCCCGCCCTGCCGGCACATCTCGGGGTGCGACGGGGAGGAGTTTCCTTGGAAAAGGGATGGATGGGGAGGAGGAGAGGGGAGGAGAAAGAGGAGGAGGAGGAGGAGGAGGCGGAGCAGGAGGAGAAGGAGAAGGAGCAGGAGGAGGAGGAGGAAGAGGAGGAGGAGGAGGAGCCCGGGCGGGAAAAGGAAGCCTATATTTTTGTCGTTTTCCTCCTGCTGATCAGTGGATATCAATGGAGGTGGGTGTGCGTTGGCGTGCGGCGTACAGGCTCGTTCGGCGCTTGAGGAGGAGGAGAAGGAGGAGGAGGAGGAGGAGGAGGAGGCAGACGAGGAGGCAGACGAGGAGGAGGAGGAGGAGGAGGAGGAGGAGGCAGACGAGGAGGAGGAGGAGGAGGAGGAGGAGGAGGAGGACGGAGATGGAGGAGGGAGGAAGTCTGAGCGCACGGCCGCCGGCGAGGCCAGGAACCTGCCGCCAAGCGGCGCCGGGTTGAGGCAGCGGGCCGGCCAGCAGCCGCCCGCGAGGCCGCCGCCGCGCGCCCGCCGCTCTGCAGAGGGCCGCCCCGCTCCCGTGAGTGCGCCGGGAGGTGCCGACCGAGGTCGGCTCGGGGCTCAAGAGACGGGACGATCGAAATGGGTACGGAAAGAATGGGTACGATGCCCAGCAGCAGTCCCGGTTCATTTTGAGCAAGCTTCGCTGTCCGCGCCGCCGCGGACGTAGTTCACTGAAGGCAGAGAGCCGCCTGCCCAACAGCGGCCGCTGTCGGTTTGGGGCAACATGTGTTGTTGGGCATTGTACCCATTTTTGTCCGTGCCCATTTCGGGCGTCCATACAAGAGACGGAGGTCAGTGCAAGCGGCGGTCAGTCAGAGCGACGGATCCTGCAGGATCCTGCAGGGCCAGGGCTGCTCTGGCCCAGGTTTGGGCGCAGGATTCTGCAGGGCCTGACTGACCCGGGTTTGGACTGACCCGGGGCAGTACGTCCCCGATCGGCGGCTGCAAAGGGTGGGGTTACCCCCGGGTGTGGCTTGCGATCGGCAGCGTTGGGGCCCGGGGAGCACGACGCTGTCCTCGTCGGGCCTCCCCGGGGCGCGGCGGAGCATCCTATCGAGGTCCCCGCCCGCCCTTTCAAGAGTGCCCCCCAGGGCGCGGGTCGCAAGCCACACCTCCTGCAAGCCACACCCTTCGGAGGCGCCGACCCGCTCCCGCGAGTGCGCCGGGAGCTGCCGACCGAGGGGAGGCTGCGGCTGTTGTCAGGTCGGGTAGCACTCGGGGAGGGCAGGCTCAGAGTTTCGAGCTTCGAGCCCTCGTGACGCCTTCGTGGCGCCCTCGTGGGGCGCCCTCGTGGCCACGGCTGGATCCGCTTGGAGGTTCTGATCGGAAAGCAGCCTGCGAGAAGTCTAGAGATATATTTTTTCGCTGCCTGATCGATCTGCGCAGGTGGCGGGATGGGAGAAGCGCATTTCGGGCCGAACGAAAGGGGGGGATTGGGAAAGGGGGGGTACGAAATCTGCTGCATGCAGCTGGTTTCGGCCCCACCGAGGGGCCCATTCCTCGATACATGGCCGCCTCCGGCGCCGGGAGGCGCCGGGAAAATCAGCTACGTGAGCTGATCCTCAAACCCTCCCTTTGCTATCCCCCCCTTTCGCCCGACCCGAGCATTGGCCCCCAATCGCACATTCATCGGCAGTAGGAGCCCGCCAGACAGCCCCGCCCCGCCCGCGAGCGTGCGGGTTCTCTATCGGGGGCCAATCGCCGATTTGTTGGCGATGTATACCTTCCCTGAAGTGTGTCATGAACTCTTGACGCTCCACGTATCCACTTCAGCCCATCCAGGAACTATCACCAGGCGAGTTGCTTGAATCAGGGCAGTGTTGAAGCACGCAGTGGAACGGGCCGCCATGCAAGCGTATCAGGTGCGCAGAGACATTGCGAACATTTGTTGAATCATATAACACATGTTCCCCTGCTGCGCTGTTTCCAATAGGGTTCACCCGTAGGCGTTCTTGAATTTCTGTTGGGACTGTTTCGGGGCGGGGAGGCTATCTTTTGCAACAGGAGGAGGTGAAACAAATACGGGATGAGGATCATGAGAAGGACGAGAAGAAAGAAACGACTGAGACCCAGGCGTGTTGACTTGATCACAATCGTGTCGGAGCACGCATCGTTGATTGAAAGCATATGCTGAGTCACGCCTCAAGTTGTCCCGTGCCGTGGCGGCGATGTGGGGCCGTGCTCTCGGATTTTCGGTTCACGGGCAGCCCGTGGGGCCTCCTAACGCATTCATCTTGGGAGTATAGAGAAAAAGAGGAAGCGGGGGAAGAAGAGGAGGAGGAGGAGGTGCAGGAGGAGGAGGAGGAGGAGGAGGAGGAGGAGGAGGAGGAGGAGAGGGTAGTTATCACGGAGGTGGAGTAGCCTGATGAGCAGGCGGGGGAGGAGGAGGAGGAGGAGGAGGAGGAGGAGGAGGAGGAGGACGAGGAGGAGGAGGAGGAGGAGGAGGAGAAGGAGGAGGTCGTGATGGAGCTGAAGTAGCCTGATGAGCAGGCGGGGGAGCAGGAGGAGGAGAAGCAGGAGGAAGAGGAGGAGGAGGACGCACAGGAAGCAGGAGGCAGGAGAAGGCTCCATAACTAGCAAACCCTTCTTTGCAGGGTCGGTACAGTGGAGGGGCCTGCGAAGACCCTGCGAGAGCCTTGCGCGCCCTCGAGGGCGCGAAGTTATTCGCGCTTCGCGGTTCGGCTCCGATTCCTCCTCATCCTCCTCTTCTCCCCTTGGGAGGCGGCGCGAAAGCGCGAAGCTATTCGCGCAGCGCGAAGCCCGAAGTTGGGAGCCCTTGTTGAGATCTGGAAAGCCTCTCGGGGCAGTTCTGGGCATCATGGTTAAAACATACTGCAGTTTCTTACTTCAGGCCCCCCCAGTTGGAGGCTCAGAGAGGGCCTCTTGGGGCCCTCGTGGGGCCCTCTTGTGACCCTCTTGGGGCTCGCTTAGGCGGTCTTGAGGCCGTCTTGAGGCCTGAAAAACCTATTGGAAGCGAAAAGGCGAGAAAGTGACCCACATACATTTTCCTCTGGTTCTTGAACTCTTGGCGGGATCCGTGGAAGGTTCGGAGGGCCTTTTGGAACCGTCTTGGGGCTGTCTTGGGGCCTCTTGGAGATATGTCGGAGACTATCTTGAGCCATCTTCAGCCATTTTGGAGGCCATCTTGGGGTCTCTGAGGCCCTCTTAGAGCCATCTTGGGCCATCTTGGGCGCTCCAACTACCCGCGCCCCCCCTTCCCAGGCCCAGGGGAGGGGGTAGGGGGAGGGGTCAAGCTACTCACCCGCCCGCAAGCCGTCTTGCTCACTCCCACCCGCCCTCCCAACACATAATTAACACCCGAGCCTCAGCATGTTCAGCGGTCGTCTGTGGATGGACAGCTACTGGGAACCAAAACCGAGCCCATGTACGCGACGCTGGGGCGAGGTGCGCCACGCGTGCCAGGCGCGCCACGCGCGCCAGGCACTCCTGGGGCCCGAGCGTGCCAGGCACGTCTTGTGCGCCAGATGCGCCACGTGCCTCCGCGTGCGCCAGGTGTGCCGCATACTCATCCTTCCCCCTCGTGCTGGCATCGTTTCACTATTTTCAGTTGCGCTGCTTGTGGCTCATTTGCTTGAGTCAGGGGCGCTTGCCCGCAATCATTCGAGTTTTAAGTCATAGGCGCTGGCAGACGAGTGAGCCGTTGAACTTGGATCGTGTCTCTGTGTGGTCCATACAGCTACTACAGTGCATACATTGTTGTCCATCTCTCGCTGCGGTTTCGGGGGCATGAGAAATGTTCGAGGCACGTGCAGAGTGTGTCAGGTGTGCCTGCGCACATGACAGCGCACATCGGGAAACATGTCAGCCCCCACCATCCATGTCGAAAACCAATGCCCATCATTGTGTCTGCTGGGCCTGCGCGCAGCTGGCCATACGCCACCAGTTGACAGTGATCGCGGGGCGGCCGCGCATGATCCAGATTTAGCCGCGAGGTGCAGTTTTTGTTGGTCAGGGGGTCAGGGATGGTAGCCTTGCGAGCAGCGGGGAATATGCTGACACCCCAGCCGTCCCTTTCAAAAACAATACAAAGTGCTCGCGGGCCTCACAAACATGACTCCAGACTTTGCCCCAAAGTGTACTTTGTATTTTTTTTTGACCGGGATGGTGGAGGGGGGGGCTGCATCGGGTTGGCCGTGCATGTTCCAAATGTGGAGGCAGAGTGCGTTTTGCATTGTTTCTTGACAGGGATGGTGGGGGGTTGGCCCTCATTGTTCCTGGTTGGCTGCCGGTCGCCTGGGGGAGGGGGTGTATATTATTAGGGAACAGTGATAAACCTCTCTCCCGAGCAAGGGCAGGAGGGAGCTTTGGCAAAGAGAAAACAAAACTCGTCAAGCCACCTACGCCCAGAGGGATCGTGGGATCTGTATGTGCGATCTCTGAGTGAGGGAGTCTCGTGTTTCGCGTGCCACAGAATGTGAATGTTGAGCGGCCCAGAACCGATTGTTCGTCATCAGTGGTTATGTAGTTTTGTTGAACGGCGAATGGCTGCAACGTCATATGGACCAAAGCGTTCAGCACATGTATGTCGAATCTCTCGAGGCGGCTTCCGAGCGCCAGGCCTAGCACAGCCGTTCCTGGCAATTGCGGAAGGCATTGCACGATACACGCGAGGCCTGTGCCGTCTGCGCGAGGCCCGAGGTTTTACGCCCTACATCGCTCTTCAGCTAAAGAACGCGTAGTAGCATGCGTAGAGTTTGGGGCTTGAGCTTCTGAGCCGACGGCGTTTGGACCTGGGGGTGCGGCCACAAGGCACGGGGGAGAAGTGGAGGAGAAGGGGGAATACGACGTAAGGCTGCACGCGTTCCCTGGGTTCTCCAAGGGGGCGGCGCGAGGGCGCGACGATCATCTCGCGCAGCGCGGAGCGCGATGCTAGAAGTTAGGTGACTTAGATTCTGGCAATGGGCCAGGGCCTTGCTGATATGGCATTGGCCTGAGTGCGGGGTTCAGCGCGCAGCCTTTTAGGAGGCCTGGGTCGGGTTCTGGGCACTGGGCTTGCGGAATCAAGCCCAGCAGCAGTGCGCTTGAGGCATGGTTGGAGGGGGGTAAGAAAAGGCTCGCAGCATGGTGTCTTGGCGTACTACTCTGTGCACACGGAGAGATTCGATGCGTTCAAGGTTGGGGCCGTCCGAAGCCCACGATGCACAATTTGATTTTGAGTACGTGGACAGTAGCGATGGCGATCCTGATGCCGATGTTGCCAATATCTGCAGTGGCACGAATCAGGCGTTATCTGAAGGGCGTACTTTCGAGCCGAGGTGGGTTTCGCGCGTTTTCAGAAACCTGGACTCTCACCTCTTGAGAGACTGAGCAGTACTGTGCTCGAAGAGCTGATTAGGAGGCCATCTCGGTTGCCAAGTTGTCGAGCTCTTGAGGACAACTCAACGTAGCAATCTGCCCCATCCCACTGACGAGAACTGAGCTGCCCAGTTGCCGAAGCACTATCCTCGCAGCCTTGTGGCGCCCCCAAGGGGCTTCCCAGACCAAGACGGGCTCTGGCACTCCAGACATGACGGGTTAGCGCCGCCTGCGTTCCGATTCGATGCGAAGCGCGTCGCGGTCTGGACCCGCGGTTCCGACTCGATCCGACGCGGTTCGGCTCACCGGCATCGGCCGGGGCCGGCTGGGCTTGGGCGCCGCGATCCGATTTCGGTTCGGTTCGGGGCGGTTCGTTGGCGAGCCGATCCGAAGCGAGTTCGCGAATCGATCCCGCCTCGGCCTGCGGCGCGGGGGTCGTGAGGCAGACCTCGCTCAGGAGGGGCAGGTAGACACCGGCGCCAGGAAGCGTCACTCCCCACGAGAGCACGGGAAGTCACGGGGCGTGGCGCGGGAGACGAAACCCCAGAAAGCATGAGGAAGCCTACGGGACCCACGGGATTGGAGAGGGACAAAACACGGGGGGACATACAGAACATAACATACAAGAACATACAAGAACCTACGAGAACATGACATACAAAACACGGGGGGATGTACGGACCTACAAGAACATACAAACCCCAGAAGTGGGGACCCACAGGATTCGCACCTCTGCTTAAGTCGGGCCTGTCCCCCTGCAGGGGGAAGATTCAAAAATAGCCTAGAAATAGTCAGGGGACTATTTTTGGAGTATGTTTGGGCATCTTTTGGGGCAGTTTTTGAATATTTGTCATTCTTCGTCGAAAATCCCCCTGTAGGGGGACAGGCCCATTCGGCCCATCCTCGGCCCCGATCGATGGCCAACCTCGCTCGAAAAACGTTAACATGGCCCTTCAAGGCCCATGCATCCTTACCGCGCATCCTTCTTCTACGGGTTGGCTGCCCAAAAATTGCCAAGAAATAGTCAGGGGACTATTTTTGGAGTATTTTTGGGCATCTTTTGAGTATTGTTTGAAGTATGTTTCATTCTTCGTCCAAAATCCCCCTGTAGGGGGACAGGACCGACTTAACCCTATGTGTGTCTCCCAAAGCTACCCTTGCATCCTTGCCCATTCGGCCCATCCTTGGCCCCTATCGCTGGCCAACCTCGTTCGAAAAACGTCAACATGGCCCTTCAAGGCCCTTGCATCCTTACCGCGCATCCTTATTCTGCGGGTTGATTGTACCTATGTGTGCCTCCCAGGGCCCCTCTGCTTGTCTCAAGGGCTCCTACGAGGGCGCAAAGTTATTCGCGCTTCGCGGCCCTCGTTCCCTCTCCCCCTCCTCCTCCCCTTCTCCTCCCCTTCTTCTCCCTTTTAGGGGGGCGGCGCGAGGGCGCGAAGTTGTTCGCGCCTCTGCCTGCCTCTGGGCACCCGACGCCTCGCCCGGCCGAGGCCGAGCTCGGCCGCGAGCGCGGGCGGGCGGCCGTGGCGGCCCGAGGAGCCGGCCAGAGGGCGAAGGAGCGGACGCCCAGCGGGTCTGGACGCCCGAAATGGGCACGGAAAGAATGGGCACAATGCCCAACAGCAGTCCCTGTTCATTTTGAACGGGACTCGCTGTCCACGCCGCCGCGGCCTGTGTCCATTCGAGACAGAAGGCCGCCTGCCCAACAGCGGCCGCTGTTGGTTTGGGGCAACATTTGTTGTGGGGCGTTGTACCCTTTCTTTCCGTACCCATTTCGGGCGTCCAAAGCGGGGCCCGGCTGCCGCCGCGGGTACTCTCGGTTGCGGGCCTCGACGACGTCGGGGGCGGCAAAGAGAGGGGGGCGGGATGACTGGGGCTAAGTCGGGCCTGTCCCTCTACAGGGGGAATATTCAAGAATAGTTAAAAAATAATGTGGGGACTATTATTTTGACCATTTTTGGGGCATGTGTTGGGTATTTTGAATTGTTCGTCCAAAATCCTCCTGTAGGGGGACAGGCCCGACTTACGACTTTGATTGCGGGCCTCGGCTACGGTCGGACCGAAGTATAAGATCGAGGTCGGCTCGGGGAGGGTACCCTGGTGTTCTTCGTGCTTGTCGTATGTTCTTGTGCATCCTGGGAAGGGGTACCCTCGGCACCTCTTGCGCGGCAACTGGGAGCTCTGAGTTGCGAGAATGTCTTGTGCGAAACAGGCTGGACCACCTTGCGTACGGCATCTCAGAGCTCAGAGTTGCGAGGATGTCTCAGGCGAGACGGGCCGGACCACCTCGCGCAGGGCATCTCAGAGCTCAGAAGTTCGAGGATGTCTCAGGCGAAACGGGCCGGACCACCTCTCGCGCGGCATCTCCGAGGTCAGAGTTTCGAGGATGTCTCAGGCGAAACGGGCGGGACCACCTCGCGCAAGGCATCTCAGAGGTCAGAGTTTCGAGGATGTCTCAGGCGAAACGGCCCGGACCACCTCTCGCACGGCACCTCGGGGCTCAGAGTTTCGAGGATGTCTCAAGCGAAACGGCCCGGACCACCTCTCGCGCGGCGTCCTGGAGCGCAACTTTTTGAAGATGTCTCAGGCGAAACAGCCAATCCCAGCCAACTCAGAAACGAGAGTTGTGAGGATGTCTCAAGCGAAACGGCCCGGACCATCAAATTTTTGTGAGGATGTCTCTGCTCCGGCTTCCCTCGGCCGGAGTTAGCTTATATCACAACAGCACCCCGTTCAGCAAGCTGTTTGGGGAATCATCATGCCCCCTTTTGTCAGAATGCGAATGAATCAATTGTTTTTTCTTACACGGCTTCTGGGGTGACAGGTGTCACCCGTATGTTGTTTCACATTGTATGGCCCCATGCTGACGACCAGAATACGAGTGGAACAAGTATTTGTTCTCAAGCAGTTTTCGGAGTGACACGTGTCACCCGCGTGTTGTTTCATATTGTGTGGCCCCATGCTGTGTCCAGAATACGAGTGAAACGATCGTTGTTTTCTCACGGTTTTCGGGGTGGCACGTGTCACCTGCGTGTTGTTTCACATTGTATGTCCCCATGTTATCGTCCAGAATACGAGTAGAACAATTGTTTTTTCTTACACGGTTTTTGGGGTGACACGTGTCACCCGCGTGTTGTTATACATTGTATGGCCCCATGTTGGCGTCCAGAATACGAGTGAAACGCTTGATTTTTCTCACGCGGTTTTCGGGGTGACGCGTGTCACTTGCGTGTTGTTTTACATTGTGCGGCCTCATGCAACTGAACCATTGATTTTTCTCACACGGTGTTCTCGGTGAAACGTGTCACCTGCGTGTTGTTTCACACTTTATGGCCCCATGTTGGCGTTCAGAACGAGTGAAACACTGGATGTGTCTCACGGTTTTCGGAGTGACACGTGTCACCGCGTGTTGTTTCACATTGTGTGGCCCCATGTTGGCGACCAGAATACGCGTGATACAGCTTGTTTTTCTCACACGGTTTTCGGGGTGGCACGTGTCACCCGTGTGTTGTTTCACATTGTATGGTCACATGTTGGCGTCCAGAATACGAGTGCAACAATTGTTGTTTTCTCACGCGGTTTTCGGGGTGACACGTCTCACCCGTGTGTTGTTTCACATAGTGTGGTCCCATGCTGGCGTCCAGAACACGAGTGAAACAGCTGTTTTTTCTCACGGTTTCCGGGGTGACGCGCGTCTCCCGCGGGTTGTTTCACATCGTGTGGCCCCATGTTGGCGTCCAGGATACGTGTGACATGAATGTTGTTTTTCCCACACGGTTTTCGGGGTAGGGGAAAGATAAGAAAGAGCGTGTTCTACCGCTGCTGGCGGAAAACCGGGGGGGGTCACTACCGGTTCGAACCCTTTCCCCCCCCCCCCTCCGGAAAACCGGGGGGGGTCACTACCGGTTCGAACCCCTCCCCCCCCCAGTTCATCATGAAAAGGGGGGGGGTCACTACCGGTTCGAACCCCCCCCCCCACCCTCGAAAAACGGGGGGGGTCACTACCGGTTCGAACCCCCCCCCCCTCGAAAACCGAGTGGGGGTGCGGACAGTGGTGGGGACGGTGGTGGTGGGGACAGTGGTGAGGGGACAGCGGGACAGTGGTGGGGACAGTGGGACAGTGGGACAGTGGTGAGAACGGTAGTGGTGGGGACAGTGGTGGGGACAATGGTGGGAACAGTGGGGACAGTGGACAGTGGTGGGGACAGAGGTACAGTGGGGACAGTGGTGGGAACAGTGGGACAGCGGAGGAGTCAGTAGGACAGTGGGGACAGTGGGGATAGTCGGGCAGTGGTTGGGGCCGTGGACACACTGGGGAGAGTGGAACCGTGGTGGGAACAGTGGTGGGGACAGTGGGGACAGTGCGACAGTGGCGGGGGCACTGGTGGGGACAGTAGGGACGGTGGTGGAACCAGTGGGGACAGTGGTGGTGAGGACAGTGGTGCTGGGAACAACAGTGGGGGATGTGATGCGGACGGTGGTAGGGACCGGGAGTCGTTTGCTGGCGGTGAGTGGGGGGGTGGGGAGGGGTTCGAACCGGTAGTGACCCCCCCTCCGGTTTTCGAGGGGGGGGGTTCGAACCGGTAGTGACCCCCCCCCTCGGTTTTCGAGAGGGGAGTGGGGGGGGGTTCGAACCGGTAGTGACCCCCCCTGGTTTTCGAGAGGGGGGGAGGGGGGGGGAGGGGTGTGGGAGGGGGGGGGGGTTTTTTGCCGGGGGAGGGGGGGGGTCCAGCAGGGTGGGGGGGGGGGGGGGGGGGGAGGGGGGGGGGATTTTCGGAGGGGGGGGGCGACCCCCGGGTTCCGGAGGAAAAGGTTGGCAAATTTCCATAGTAAAGCGGCGGTGGATCACGCTCTCTCGAAGATAATTATCCCAGTGCGACCCCGACCCTACCTAGGAGTTGGAGCATCTAGGAAAGCAACATCTACATCTACATCAACATCAACAGCGAGGCTCACATCTACAGCTACATCCACACCTACATCTACATCTACGCCTACACCTGCATCTACGCCTACACCTACATCTACATCTACATCTACACATACATCCACATCTACACCTACGCCTACATCTACATCTACATCTATATGTTCGCATTTGTTTTGCTTTTGCGTTGCATGATATGCTATGCTATGATATGCTGTGCTAATGCTGCGCTAAGTTAAGGTAAGGTAAGCTAAGCTATGCTTCGCTATGCTATGCTATGCTATGCTATGCTATGCTGCGCTATGCTATGCTGCGCTATGCTATGCTAGGTGATGCTATGATATGCGATGCTGCGCTATAGTATGATATGCTATGATATGCTATGCTGCGCTATGCTGTGCTACGATGTGCTGTGCTATGCTATGCTGTGCTGTGCTATGCTAAGCAATGATATGCTATACTATGCCATGCTGTGCTATGATATGCGATGCTATGCTGAGCTATGCTATGATTTGCTATGCAATGCTATGATATACTGTGCTAATGCTGCGCTGCGCTATGCTGCGCTAAACTAAGGTAAACTAAGCTATGCTAAGCGAAGCGAAGCTAAGCTAAGCTAGGCTAGGCTAAGCTAAGCTAAGCTAAGCCAAGCTAAGCTAAGCTAAGCCAAGCTAAGCTAAGCTAAGCTAAGCCAGGCTAGGCAAAGCGGGGGATCCTGGGGGAACCGCGGGGCGGATCCTGGGGGAACCGCCAGGGGCGTTTTCCACTGCCCGGCCCCTTTAAGCTAGAGAGTAAGAACCCTTCTAGGCAGAGCCTAGGTAGGGAACTATGCACATACACCGATTATGGCCAGGCCCATCCTGAGCCCAGGATCGGTGCATACGCCCTCTGACCTTGGCCAAGAAGGTATATGCACCGAACCTGGGTCAAGGATGGACGTTGTCAGGATCGGTGCATGTGTATAGTTCTCTTCGCCCGAGGTGACACGTGTCACCTGTGTCTTGTTTCACACTGTATGGCCCCACGGTGGCGTCCAGAGTGCGAGTCAAGCGCGCGTGTTTTCCTCACACGCGGGTTTCGGGGCGACACGCCTCTCCCCCGCGGGTGGTTTCGCACACCGTATGGCCCCATGTTGGCGTCTGGGATCTGTATGACATAAGCCTTTTTTTCTCACGCGGCTATGGGGTGGCCTCCTCCTCCTCCTCCTCCTCCACCACCTCCTCCTCCTCGTGCTCCTCCTCCTCCTCCTCCTCCTGCTCCTCCTCCTCCTCCTCTACCTCCTCCTCCTCCTCCACTACCTCCTCCCTCTCCTCCTCGAGCGTTTTTTTCTCACGCGGCTATGGGGTGGCCTCCTCCTCCTCCCTCCTCCTCCTCCTCCTCCTCCTCCTCCTCCTCCTCCTCCTCCTCCTCCTCCTCCCCTACCTCCCATGGCCCTCGGGCCACAAGTCGGGCCTCCGGCGGCCGGCCGGTGCAAAATCCAGGCACCGCAAAATCAGAATCCGGTGGGCCAGAATCAGATTCCGGTGGGTCTCGGGGGGCAAGTTGGCACTCTGCCCCCAGGAAACCCTCCCCCCCCCCCAGACCTCCTCGCGTCGTGGAAGAATCGCGACGGGGCGGTTTTTGCTATTTTCGGCCTCCGGGTGCCCTCACTGAGCCTCGGGGCCGTCAAAACAAGACGCAGGATGAGAAGCAGGTGTTGCTTCACATTATATTCAGGAGGGAAAAAACACACAGACACAATGAATCGTCGATTCCGCAGGAAATACGGGAAAGTATGGGAAGTGGGGGGGAAGACAAACACCCAGAAAATGTAGGAAAATATGGGGAATCTTTTTTGTTTGTGTGTATTGATTTGCGTGTCCCAGGGCCCCTTCATATATCGCCGCATGTTGGCGTCCAGAATACGCGTGAACCAGCTGATTTTTCTCACACGGTTTTCGTGGTGACGCCTGTCACCCGCGTGTTGTTTTGCATTGTGTGGCCTCATGTGGCGACCAGAATACGAGTGATGCAATCCGTTTTTCCCACACGGTTTTCGGAATGACGCGTGTCACCCGTGTGTTTTTGTTGACATCGTATGTCCCCATGTTGGCGACCAGAATACATGAAACGAATGTTTTTTCTCACACGGTTTTCTGGGTGAAACGTGTCACCCGCGTGCTGTTTTACATTTTATGGCCCCATGTTAGCGTCCACACTGCGCGTGAAACGCGTGTGTTTTTCCCACGCTGGTTTCGGAATGACACGTGTCACCCGCGTGTTGTTTTACATTATTTCGCACTGTGTAGCCCCATGTTGGCGATCAGAATACGAGTGAAACCACTTGTTTTTCTCACTCGGTTTTCAGGGTGACACGTGTCACCCGTGTGTTGTTTCACACTGTATGGCCCCATGTTGGTGTCCAGAATACGAGTGAAACACTTGGTGTTTCTCACACGGTTTTCTGGGTGGCTCGTGTCACCCGCGTGTTGTTTCACATTGTATGTGCCCGTGTCGCCGTCCAAAATATGAGTGGAACAATTATTGTTTCTCACACGGTTTTCGGGATGTCACGTGTCACCCGTGTGTTGCTTCACAGTGAATGGCCGAATGTTGGCGACAAGAGTTAAACCAATGGACTTTTTTACAGTTTTCGGGGTGACACGCGTCACCAGTGTGTTGTTTCACACTGTATGGCCCC